TTTCATTTGCTAATAAATGAATATATATATATATATATATGGTGGTTGCAAAAAAACAAATTTGTTAGATTTCATTTGAGTTGTAAACTAGTTTATATTCAGATTTTGAAGCTCGTTTAGTGTACATTTTCCTGTGGTGCTGTAATCGAAAGTTATATTTGAATTGTTGTCCTCTTGATCTGATCAACAGTTGGATTTGATATGTTATACAGAGAGTTTTTGTAAGTAATTTTATTGTCTGATTGCTTTGAAATTGTTAGATTGGTGATTGATTGCTCTATTATATTGGATGAGATTCATAGAGAAAGCTCATCTGCCTTTTGGCGACAGTTTTCTGTAGTATCCATGGTCACTAAGCTTCTGATCCACATGCAACTCCACAAAACTTTAGTATTTAGATTGGTACTTGTTTTTTGTATTTGTTCTGTTTTTTGAAATTTCTCGAGTGACGTATTTGTTTCAAATGCTCTTCATTTTATAATTGAAACAGAAAAATAGTTTAAATGCCAAATTTGAGAGAAATATGGTTCATCTGATTAACCATTTTCGTAGTTCGCAATGAAATTAATAAGCTAGGAAACATACATCCTTAGTTCTTATCATACCTTTTCCTCTTCTTTTTTCAAGAAATAATAAATTATTTACCTTTTTGCTAGTTTGGTCATGTCTAATCTATTATCTTGCTACCTATGAGGATGTTTTTTGTTATTTAGGTTTCAAGATTGATGATTGAGGACTCTGGAGCTGTAAATGGGGTTAGTTTCATTATCTGGATTTCTTCAATGAAATGGATTTTCGAGCTTCGAAAAAGTAATTTAGATATTAGGAACCTGGGTGGAATCATTTAGGTTATATTGGCTGATGGGACAAAGGTGCATTCTTCAGTTGTTTTGTCAAATGCAACCCCTTACAAAACTTTTATGGTAATATTCCCTACCACTATTATTTGACTTGTAGAAGCGTATTCAGGTTTTGCTATGACATTGTCAACTTTCTGTTTTAATTGGATTTCTTATGCTTTTCTAACACAGGAATTGTTACCTGAAAATGTTCTTCCAGATGATTTTATCTGTGCCATTAAGCATTTGGATTATAGCTCCGTAAGTTTCTTTGTATATTACTTGTTACTTTCTTCTATTATTAGATAATCTGTGTTGTTCATGCCGTTATTTTCTTATCAACAAACAAAATTTTGAAAAAAAATAGTGTTGAGAATAAGATTTTTTAAGCTTCTTGAGTACTGCAATGACATCCAGGAGCAACAGCATTCCATCCAATGGGTTCGTACTTCCACTGAAATTACAGAGCATTTTGAACTTTCTGAGAAATAAAAGTGAAACGTATATATAGTTACCAAAACTTTAAGATTCTCAATTGAAATTTCTCAAAGCAATCTGACTAGTTTGCGAATATTAGAGATCTTCAATATTTGAAATAATAATAATAAATAACTTTTCATCTTTGTGTATGTGTTATCTATAATTAAAGAATTTGAAATAATAATAATAAATAATTTCTTTAACTTCCTCCAGTTTGTGTAAAAATTTTAATTAAAGAAATTGGAGGAAGTTAAAAACTCCAAACTTCTGCTGGTCAAGGTGAATGATTGATATATAATCGATCAACAAAGTCAACTGAGCAATATTTCATTTTTTAGGTTGCCCCATTGAGGAGTTCCCTCTTAAATATCTGAGTTTGCCTTTAGGAGGGGATCCTCGAGCGGATTCTTTTTGGAATCTGTACTTGTCGAGATTGGGAAAAGAATAGATGGCTGGAAGAGAGCGTTGTTGTCTAAGGGGGGATATACATTTTGGTGCAATCACTGCTGAGTTGCATCCCTATCTACTCGTCTTTGTTTACGATTCTAGTAAGGATTGCAAAGAAAGTCAGGAAGTTGGTGCGAGACTTTCTTTGGAAAGGGTGTGATGAAGATAAGAAGGATCACTTAGTTAAGTGGGAGGTGGTTTCTCTCCCTAGGGAGAAAGGGGGTCTTGCTATCGGGAATATTGTTGCGAGGAATATTAGACTCTTGAGCAAATAGTTGTGGAGGTTCCCTAGTGAAAGCGAGTCATTATGGTGCTCCATCATTAAAAACAAGTATGGTGTTTAGGACAATGGTAGAGATTCAAATGTGGTTAGGAGAGGCAATTGTCGGTCTCTTTGGAAGTCCATCTCTCATTTATATCCTATAGTGTCTCCTTTCTTGTCTATGAAAGTGGGTAATGGGCTTCATATTCGGTTTTGGGAAGATGTGTGGGTGGGGGTTACCTTTTTTGATAGAGCTTTTCCATTTCTTATTTGAATTAGAATGGAAGATGAAGAGTAAGGGGGAGGAAGAAAAAAGAAAACATGGATTGATTCAAGTTGAAACTTTGGCACAATGTTTTTCTGATCCAGTTAGAACTCAGAGCAAACCTAGTTTTCTTCATCTATAACCATGTATATAAATTATTAAAAGAAATTATAGCATGAAGTAATTAGTAGAGATAAATCATGTAGAATATCAATTCTTTTAAAAACTTTACCTACATTGAAGTTCTTTGTGGGAAAATTCCACGTAAATGGTAGATCCCAGTTGTAACTAAGTTCTAAAATATCAAATGCAGGTTTATCATTCATATATGATAATCTATACTATTTTAAATTAATTCTTGTTTTTTCTTTGAATGCAGAGACTAAAAATAAAAAATAAAATAAGAATCTCGTTGTTAAAGTAAAGTTTAGAACTTGAAATTTTTATATTGAATGTACGTCTTCTTGAATTTGTATCTGAACTGAGTGCAGAGTTGTTTGTAACGATTAATTTATTTGATAGGAGCAATAATCTGCAGAGAATTAGTTTAGAATTTTAATTGACATGGTTGTAATCAGTTCAGAAAATATTCTTTTAAGTGGGCTACCTTGTTAGAGACTCTGTATTTACTATTTAGGTGCGCGGTAGTTGTGCAAATAATGGGAGCAATATCATGGCTGGTCTTGGCAGCATATTGTTTGCCATGATATGACCAAGTAGCTGATTACTGCAATGCATGTTATTACTAGAGAAAGGGACTTTGCAGTGACTATAGAAAGGCTACCTTTGTCTTGGGGATCCCTAATTGGTTATTGTCATGACTTCTTTTGACTGCATTGTAGTGTAGTAGGTACTCCATTGTTTTAGGGATCATACTAGTGTATGTACTCCATTGTCCCAGCTTTGAATTACTACCTACGAGCAGTTCAAATGGCATGGCAGTTGTTGTTTCCTTACCTTTTTAAAAAAGTAAAAAATAAAAAATGATCGACATTAGTTTTTTTCTCAAAGATGAGATTTTTAGAATTATATTTGAAATCTAATTTGAAACATTGATTGGTTATCTAATTAGAAATAAGAAAAGCAAATCTGACAAGATTGTTGCCTGTTAACAATAGCACCGTATTTGCAGCCAATAAAATAAAGTTAATAGCACCATATTTGCTAATAATGGGCATTTAGTACAACAATATTTTTATGTAGCTTTTTAACTTTGTGATTGTGATATTTGCTTTTTTCTTGAACTGTAGTATCATTCAAAGTGTTGAAGTTTGTAATGTGGATTGTGAATGTATATTTGATCCAATGCCTCCAAATTTTTTTGTTTTTGTTTTTGTTTTTTGCTGGAGACATTCTTGAACTCTTGAGGATAAGATGTGATCATTATGGTTACCACTGCTGGCAAAGGATGCAATATCAGGATTGTCTTTCTTGGAGAAAGATGTTATTTTTGTAGTTTTTTGACAGAAAAAAAGATCCTTAGAATACATGGGGTATGTATATAATAAATATAAAATATCTATGTAGACTATTTTATTTCTAGGCTTATTTGACAATTGGTTAGTTGAGTTATTACAATAAACATGTTTATATAAATGGTGGTGGTCTCAATCATAGTTACCAAGAAACTGAGTTGGGGATGGAAAAGGCTTTTTTAGAACCACATTTCTGAGTTATGATCTCCAAAAGTATGGCCCTTTTGGTGCTGCGTGTTTTGACTTCTTTGACTAGGGTCAAACTTAGAAAAAACTCCTCTTTTGGGGGGTGGGGGGCAGTTTTCTCAAACTTTGTAAAATCAAATTTTAGGATTGATTTATGCAAAATCTAGCAAGTAAGGGTCAAATTCCACGAGCTGTGGGCCTCAAAACCAAGCCACAAGAAATAACAAAGTAAGGCTAAAATAAAATCTCAAAATCTTAAGTTTCAGTTCTTCAAAGACATCCTTAAAAAGAGTAATTACAACCCTATATATAAGTAGCCAAGGAAGTTACTTCCTTATGAAGTACTTTAGAATAGAAAAACTACAAAATAACAAGAAGTGGACTAGTGGTAGACATACAATGCAACCACTCCATAACAAGTTAGTGACACATGATGTTCATGCAAACATTCAATGGCAAGTGACATGGTTTTGCATGTAGCCACCTATTAACATGTGTCCTACATGCAACCATCGCACTAAGAAATAGGTGATGTGCTGCTTACAAACAACCACCTCAATAACAAGCTGTATACAAGAACATAATGCACCTTCTCATTAGTTTTAAATTTGTGATACTTCTGTTGATTTCTTCTCTCAAGTTATTGTCACTACAAAAAATTAAGGTTTTAGAAACCAAAATTTAGGGACAAAATTACTTTTTAGAGACCAAATAATTTTGTTGGAAAAGTGTCGTCATTATAATTTTAGCAACAAAAATTGGACATTAGTAATGAATTATTAGGGATCAAATTTTTTGTCTCAAAAAATAAATCATTTTGAGACCAAATTATTTTGTCCCTAAAAGTCTATTTATTAGTGACATTTTCAAAATTTTGTCGCTAAATGCCTTATTTTTTACTTTTCCGGACGACCTTTTAGCAACTATCCTCATGAAGATGGAAATTGGTCTTTAAATGTCTTTTACAACAAAATTTTCACTTTTAGAGACCAAAACATTTGGTCTCTAAAACTTTTATATGTTGTAGTGTGCCTACCATCTTTTGATTTTGCCAAAGCTGATTCCACTTGTTCAAATGTTTGTTTTGGGTTCTTATGTTTGAATTCTGAATTTTTTTAAGACCTATAGGGAATTGAATATTTGAGGGCTTGCATCTTTTTTCTTTTGTTCTAAACTTGGCAAGTTGGTAAATACATAGTACTTTTAGATTAAAAAATGTCTTCTCCAAGCAAGAGCTGCGTCATCACTACCTAAGGTACTAAATTTGTATCTTTTAATTTTTAATTTTTGCAAGGTGGGTTTTTATTTTATTTTTATTCTCTCTTATGTTCTTGGGTTTGATGATGGCAAATACCTGTTAGTTTATGTGATGCTGCGTAGTTTGATGTTGGATATCCTATGAATGGTGTTGCTTAGTCACATAAAATTGTGTATGTGGAATCATAGAGTATGATTACTGTTGCTTTGTTGCATAAATATTAGTTTGAAATGACTTGGCTGTATTGATTGCCATATTCTCATGAGATCCGTGGTTGGTCCTTGGAAAACTTACTTGTTCATGACTTATGCAATATATGATTTGGAAGGATTGCAATTCTTGATCTGGTCTTGATAGATAGCATTACCATTGCTTGATTTTGTTGGTAGTACGAGCTCGTTTGGTAAAGAATACCATTGTGGAATTGTGCACTCCCAAGGGCAGCCCTACGATTTCCATTAGGCGTGTTTTTTTCACTTGGTTTGGTAAGATATTGTTGAGTAGCTTTTGAATTACTGTCTCATTTTCTCCATTGCTTCTACGGGACCTTTCAAGCTTAATGGTGTTCCTCTTAGACATGTAAATCAATCTTATTTGATTGATACTTCGACCAAGGTGGACATCTCTGGCGTCAATGTTGAAAAGTTTTTTTTTTTGGAACTGGACAATGTTGAAAAGTTTGATGACAAGTATTTTGCAAAGCAAGTCGAGAAGAAGAAAAAGAAGGGAGAAGGCGAGTTCTTTGAGGCAAAGAAAGACATTTGCTTATAATCCTTTACTAAAATTGTGAAAAAGGCATTAAATTTTTGTTGTTTTTTTGGACTTATTTAGTTTAAATATATTTTTGCACTTATTTGGCTTAGATTTGTTTGTTATTACATCAAGCTGCCTTCTTTAGTTAAATTCTTTGGCCTGTACTATATTTTAGAATCTTGGCAAACGGGGCCTCATAATTGTGTTGAATCTTTCAGTGCATATCTCCTGAATAGGTTTTGAACAGATTCGGAACAGATTATATTTGGTTTTGAACAGGTTCTGAAGAGGTTAATTTCAGATTTTGAACAGATTCTGAACAGGTTAATTTCAGATTTTGTATTTCAGATTTTGAACATGTTAATCTGGTTTTGAATAGGTTTTGAACAGGTTCTGAACAGGTTAATGTGGTTTTGAACAGATTTTGAACAGGTTCTGAAGAGGTTAATTTCAGATTTTGAACAGATTCTGAACAGGTTAATTTCAGATTTTGTATTTCAGATTATGAACATGTTAATCTGGTTTTGAACAGGTTTTGAATAGGTTCTGAACAGGTTAATGTGGTCTTGAACAGGTTTTGGGAAATAGAAGCGGATGTAAAAGAAATTCTCCACCTAAATCTTTATAATTCCTCCTTCTAAACAAAATCCCTGCAATTTCCCCTTTAAATGTTTATTTTTGTGAAATTCGTCTTTATCTTGGGTCATGTTGACTCTTGACGGCTTCCGCCTTTTACACATGTTAGATCTCTCACAGGTTAGATCTCTCTCTCTATATATATATATGTGTGTGTGTGTGTGTGTGCGCGCGCGTGTTCTTTTATTTTGATGCAAGAAATAAATGTGCATGTTTTGTCCAAAATGTTCATATCTTTAGACATTATTATTGTTATGATCATCATCATCATTATCATCCTAAAATGACTTTTTTGTTTTAAGTAGTGATGATCATCATGGTTATAAACCAAAACAACATAGAATTAACTTAACAATTAAAACAATAGAAAATCAACTTTCAGATGTTAATTCTTTATAACATGGGATCTCATTGTTCAATCAGATTTAGTTTTTTGAGGTGTTTATGGAGTGATGCGTTGTGGAATTATACCTTATAAGGGCTATAATCTCTCTCAATGTATGGACTATGGATATTCACCGGCTATTGGGTCATTTAATATGATCGAGAAGTTGTATACATGGATACACCGCAGTTTTTGTTGCCAGGCTCATACTATATCACCTCTACAGATATGTAGACCTGAATTTGAATAGACAAAATGTGATTTGTTAGCCATATTTACTGAATTGAGTATGACTAAAAACTGCCAGGGAATATAATTTAAATAATTGTAATGACATGAGAAAGAAACACAGCATTGCTTCTATTTGAGTTCTTGCTATTTTAGAAAAAAAAAAGAAAAAGAAAAAAAAGAAATGATAAAAAAACAAGAAGGCCTCTTTATGGAGTGATGCATTGTTGTTTGGATGTATATCTTTGGTTTTTGATTTGCCTTTTTGTCAGTTCTCATTGTACTTTCGAGAGAGTGTATGGTATGAGCTTGTGTGATTATGATTTCATAATTTTATCATGGAAAATTTATGGTAGTGTTTTTCTTTCTTTGTAGTTATGATGCATTTTCATTTATTAGATTATGCATTTTGACTGCCCTTCTCTTGATTTTCTTATGACTAAAATTTTTGTTATGTCGATCAAAAACTTTTGTTATTGTCACATATTTGTAGGATCTTTTTTATTTGGACAGAAGCCTGCTTGTGGAGGGTTTGCATCAAGGCCTAATCAATCTGACTCATCTGGGAGTGTGTTTCAACAAACTCAAACTACTTTTGGAAGCAATCCATTTGGTTCATCTACTCCCTTTGATGCATCAACCCAAAATGCATTTGGTGCTGGTAGTCCCCCAGCCTTTGGTGCAGCTAGCACATCAACTTTTGTTGTTGCAAGCACTCCGACATTTGGCTCCTCGTCAACCTCAATCTTTGGCAGCACAGGCATAGCTTTTGCTGTGTCCAGTGCACCAGCTTTTGGATTTGGGACCAGGGCTGCATTTGGTGCTTCAAACACATCGGGAACATTGAACACATCCATTTTGGGGGCATCAAACACCTCTGCATTTGGAGCATCAAGCAGTCCTGCCTTTGGTACATCAAGTACCACAGGATTTGGCTTTGGTACCACTCCAACATATGGGCAGTCAACTTCAGCATCTGGCAGCAGCAGCGTATTTGAAGCTACTCCATCTCTTTTTGGGACTCAGAGTTCCTACTTTGGTGAGTTATTTTCCATATTTCTTTGTATATTAGTTCATGCTTATGTCTTCTGTTTATTACCAATGAAACATTATTATTCTCTCAATCTATTTTGCAGGAGCCCAGACAACGATGCTGACATTTGGGACCACAAGCTTTGGACCTTCAGCTTTTGGTGGTCAACGTGGAGGAAGTAGAGTAGCCGCTTACACTGCAGCTGCTGAGGTAGATGGTGGCAGAACACAACCTGCTGTTACACTGCAGTCCATTTTAGCAATGACTGTTTACAAAGATAAAAGCCATGAAGAGCTGAGGTTGGAGGACTATTAGTTGGGAGATAAAGGTATGGCTAGCCTGTGCACGAGTGGTTTCATTCATCTTTATCTTGTCTTTTGTTATGAAAATGGTCTGTACTGACTGTTCTTTCTCATTGATTCCAAATTCAGGGGGCCCGTGCCATGTGGGTCAATCTGCAAGTGGTTTGGGCGTTGGTGGTTCCACTACACAGTCAAACGCCTTTGGTCCTTCACCCACACTGACTCAGTCATCTCCCAATCCCTTCTCTTCCTCAGTCTCTTCTAACCCACTTGCTCCCCAAACCTCTACTCCTAATCCATTTGTCCCCCAAACCTCTACTCCTAATCCATTTCCCACCCAAATCCCTTCTCCTAATCCATTTGCCACCCAAACCTCTACTCCTAATCCATTTGCCCTCCAAACCTCTTCTCCTATTCCATTTGCCACCCAAACCTCTTCTCCTATTCCATTTCCCCCCCAAATCTGTTAACCCCCCAAACCTCTTCAAATTTGTCAACCCCCAAAACCTCTTCTCCTAATCCATCTGCCTCCCAAACCTCTTCTAATCCATTTGCCCCTCAAACCATTTCAAATGCATTAGTCCTCCAAACCCCTTATAATTCATTTGCCCCCAAAACACCAGCTCCTAGCTCTTCAGGCTCTGTAGCCTCATCTGCTCCTGGATTCAATTCATTACTCTTTAGCATATCATCATTTGCAAACACTTTCAAGACAACATCATCCCCACCTTGCTTAATTTTGACAGCATCAGGCCCTGCATCTGGGCCGAATAGCTGTCCATCTCTTTTTAGCTCACCAGTACTTGGACCATCACCCTCTATCTTTAGTTCTACTTCAGCTCTGGGAACAGCTTCAGGAATTGGCTCTGGCTTGAGTTCTGCTAACACACGATCATCCCCAGCATTTCGGTATGTTGCACACCCTTACTCAAAGGGACAAGTGCTTCGTTAATTGCATTTATTGTTATTAGATTCTTGGAGTTAGAAGAGCTGCATTTTTACCCTAATGGATTTGTTAGATGGTTTATTCATTTTTTGGTTCATCATGCATCACATCATATGTGTTTCTTAGGGTTAGGGTTAATGGGGGTTGGATGGTTCAATAGATATCAAACTAACATCAATGTCCCTATAAATAGGAAAAACAAAAACCAGAATGCAAATGATCTTCTGCTACTACCATGCCTCTCATCCTCCTCTTTTTTTCTCTTCACAAATTTGATGACAGTTTTCTGGACCAAGTTTGAATTTGTTTGATTAAATGTATTTTCAGCTTTTGAGAAGAGGGGCTACAAATTAAAAAATAAAAAATAAATATAAAAATAAAAAATAAAAAAAATAAAAATAAAAATAAAAATTAATAATAAAATTATACAAGACTAAGGGAGCAATGAAATATAAGGTTCAATAGACATCAAACAAACATCAATATCCTTAGGAATAGGAAAAAAAATAAAAAGCAAAAAGCCAATGATTTGCTACCATGCCTTTTATCCAACTTCTTGTTATCTTCACAAATTTAATGATGAAGATTTCTGGGCCCAGTTTGAATTTGTTTGACTAGTATTTTGTCTTTTGAGAAGAGGGGTCACAAATTGAAAACAGAAAGAAAAACATACAAGACTAAGACAGTAACTGAATAGAAGGTTCAATAGATATCAAACAAACATCAGTATAGGAAAAACAAAAACTAGAAAGAAAATGATTTGTTACCATGCCTCTTATCCACCTTTTTGTTTTTTTCACAAATTTAATGATGAAGGTTTCTGGACCAAGTTTGCATTCATTTCACAATGTATTTACAGTACTTTCGGCCAAGTTGGACCCCCAAAACTGGCTAAACACATGCGTTAATGTGCTTATTGTTAAACTTTTTGAAGTCAACAAGTGTTATTTACTAGATTGTTGGAGTTACGAAGAGCTGCATTTTTACCCTAACGGGAAATTTGTTGCATGGTTTATTCAAATTTTGGTTCATGCAGGCATCACATCAATATGTATTTCTTCATGCAAGGTTAGGGTTAACAGGGTTTGCATGTGTCCTCTTATTCACTTCTGGTGATATATGGATGTGTGATCAAATATAATTTTCTTCTTCATAATGTGTTAACAAAGCAATTGTAATCAAGTTGGTTTCTAACTCGGATACCACCATAACCGACAAAGACAAATCTAGAAAAGGTCACGTGTATAAATCCTTGAGTGTCCTTATTATAAAATTTGTTAAGCAAAGAAACATACTTATTTGTGTACCATCAAGAATACGATGGACTCATTTTAACTTCCTTGAAATTAATGGAATGATTACATACATTGCTACTAGATGTCCAAACTTCACATTTAGAACCAAACTAATTTCCTTGTTTTAAAGTAAAAATGCAAGAGTTTTTTCTTCAAGTACATACATTGAGATATACTGAAAGATTTGTAACTCGTTTGTTGGCTTAATGCCTTGAGATACAATGAAAGATTTGTAACTCGTTTGTTGGCTTAATGCCTTGTTCTTTGCAATGGTTTAATGTGTAATTACATGTATCTCAGGTCTTCCACTCAGAGCACTGTGGTAGGGCAGCCAGCGCCAGTCGTGAGTCCTTTTGGAGCTTTACCTGCAATGCCTCAGCTATCAATTGCTCACCCTGGATCCACACCCTCAATTCGATATGGAATTTCTAGCATGCTTGTAAGTCTGATATCTCTAAACCTTTCTATTACTGGATACAATAGAATGCTTTTGTATGGATTTACTTTCTTCATTCTTGATGCAGATCAGAATTTATAAATTATATGTTTTTTTTAGTATATAATTATAAATTTATAATTATTATTTAAGACTAAAATATTTAGTTTCCTATTTATTTAGGTTGCCTATTTAGTTTTCTTGTTTTACAAAAATTAATATTTTTTGTTTTAAATATTCTTGACTAGCAAGAATATATCTTTTTCTTTTTAGATTTTCTTGATTAGCAAGAATTATTTTGGTATAAATAAAAATATAAGCCTTAGTGCAATACAGTTTATATTTGATTAAGAAAAATTGAGAGTTTTCTCAATATTGTTCGTTCGTAGAAAGATTATCTCTAGTTCGGATTTGTTTGTGGTTCGATCTTGTTGTTTGCTTTTCTTTCCGATACACTTCCCTGCATCAATTCTGAGCTATGAACAATAGAGGTTGGGTCCCTCTTGGTGCGTTTAGTGGATATTTATGTATGAAAAAAAAAATGTGGACATGTGCATGAGTTTTACATTTTGACAAGAACACTGCATCTTGGGCATGACTGATTCTTAGGTCATATTAGTGATCTTGCAATAATATGTAGTAGTTATGTTATGACTAAGGTATGATATTATTGAATCATGTTACGTCTTGCTTGTTAGATTCAATTCTCCTTCAGGCAAAAGTTTTGCATGTTTAGGTGTTGAATAGTTAATTTAGGGGAAGGGCCAACGGGTATTCTAAACTTTCTTGTCTAGGCATTGTTTACACAAGTGACTTGTGTTAATTTTTCATTTTGTAAGGGTGTATCGTAGTTTCTATTCTGGCTTCTTTTTTTCTCTCTCTCTCTCCTGCATCCAAGAGTACAATTGTGCTGTTTCTAAAATTTTCTACTTATACCATTTCATTTAGCTTGTGTTTGGTTAGGGGATTTAGGGAGGGATTTGGAAAGGGAAAGGAAAAAAGTGTATAAAATTAGGTGAAATGTAAGTATATTTTATTCACATTTTACCAATCTTTTTCTTTCCCTTTCCCTTTCTCTTTCCAAATCCTTTCCCAAATCCCTCATCCAAACATAGCGTTAAGGTAGAATCTCTGCAGTGGTGTCTGCACCATGCTTTAAATGGTTTCATACATCCAGCTTTTCGTATTGCAAAATATCATTAAGAATATAAAATTGAGGAAACAGAAATCAGTTTTTTGGATTGTTTGCTTGTGTTTTTGTTTTCTGTTTTATAATTTCACTTTCCAAAAAACACAAATTAGTTTGGCTAATTGTTTCCTAAAATTGTTCTAGGATTTTTTTTTCCCTTAAAACAACCCCCTTTTTAGGAAACACCAAAAAGTTATTTTCAAAATTTTCGGAAACAGTTTTTGCACAAAAATGAAAACAACATGAAAATTATGTGTTCATGAACCTTTTCGGTGTTTTTGTTTCTGAAAGCACAAATATGAAAACAAAGAACATGAGAAACAGACTTCTTTCAGTCCCTACATATATATATATATATATGTCTTGTGTTGAAGGAGATTTGTCCATAATTGATGTTTTTTCTGTTACAAAATAAGACAGTTTTGGCTGATGCATGTATGTATATTTCTGTATCTTTGACATCCACCTCCACTTTGATTCTTATTAATTATTACAGGTAGAGAATGAGGCCTTTTGGTTCTTAATATTAATTTAAATGCATCTATTTTAATTTATTTTTTGCAGAAGTTTTTTTTTTTTTTTTTTCTTGAAAGCATTATACTCGATGTGGATATGTATACTAGAAGAGTATTTGCACACTACTGTCTGCAGATAGTATGCAATTGAAACTGTTAGGGAGATCATGAGAGAGAGAGAGAGAGAGAGAGAGAGAGAGAGAGAGAGGGAGTCTATTGTTTTATTGATTCTACGTTTTGGTCCTTACAATAACTATTAGGCAAAGATAAAATTTGGGAAAATTATGTTGATGCTGTGATTTTTCTTTTTTTTTTTAAATTGCGTGACAAAGCTTTAACCAAGTGAGTTGTGTTCTTTATAAAATAGAATATATACGAGGATTAGAAAAAATACGGGCCTCCTCCAATTGGGGACTTTACACAATGGCCTTATAATGACCAATATTTATGTTTGATTGGGGAAGGTGAGGGTTGTGGGTGGCGGTTGATGGTAGGGTATCTTTTTGTATTCTGATAGGCTCATATTTTCATTTTACTACATTTCATACACTAGTACTGGGTTTTGCTAGTTTATGTATTCTTTCCAACAATTTTGCAGGGAGCGTATCTGAAAATAGTGCTGACAAGGAGGGCACTAGTTCTATCAAATCCAATCATAAGCCCAACGATCCGTGTAATATTACTTTCACTGAGAAAGAAGCCTTGCATATTATTACATCCACAGGGTGCAAAGCTGGTGAGGCTGCAATTCTGCAAGAACAAGAGACCGATGTTGAGGCGTTAATGCCACAGCTGCAACGCTCTGGGTACTATACAGAACCACAAATCCACGAGCTAGCAGTGAAGGAAAGGGCCGAGCCAGGGTTTTGCTGTCGTGTGAAGAACTTTGTGGTTGGACGCCATGGCTATGGAAACATCAAGTTTCTCGGTGACACAGACGTGCGAAAGCTTGATCTAGATTCCCACATTCATTTTGCTAATCGTAAACTGACTGTCTACATGGATGAGAGCAAGAAACCTCCAGTGGGGCAAGGTCTGAATAAGCCTGCCGAGGTCACTCTTCTTAACATCAAATGCATTGACAAAAAAGACAGGGAAACAGTACATAAATGGACCTAAGGTTGATAAATACAGAGAGATGCTAATGAAGAAGGCAATAGAGCAAGGTGCTGAGTTTGTGTCTTACGACCCTGTAAAATGGGAGTGGAAATTCAGGGTGCAACACTTTTAGCTGATACAAGTTTTGAAATGACACGAAAGTGGGCTAGTTTCGAGACCCAGTTTCTGTGATTGTCGATGCAATGAGAAGTGACGGTTACAAGATTCGCAAAGAAAGCTTCGCCATTGTTTTGAGAAATTGGCTACGTGGTCCTTTTTTCTTTTTGGTTCAGACACTACTTGTAATTTGGGGTTCATGGTGTATTATCTTTTCATTCAATTGTCTTCATTTAATTTGTTGTCTTGACTTTTACAAATTAAGCAATCAACAAAAGTATTTTTTTTCTCTCAAAATGCTGTGTGTGATATTGGAATCAGCAGATATTTTCTTTTGGATTTGTTAAATAATGTTATTATAATTTCAAATGGATGGATTTGAATGAAATAACTCTGCAATTATAGTTATTTATCATTGAGGGGAAAGAAAAAAAAAAAGCAGCAGCTAAACATTTTCCAAAACATTTGCAAAAATGAGATTTTATCAATGACCAAATGCACAAACCATTCACAACTAAATTGAAGACGAGCATTGGAAGCATCTTCTTAGTATCTTCTTAGGGAAATGTAAAAAATCATTATAAACTAATTGCAGTCAATATCATGCTTAATTGAATCAATGTATACCAATAAAATTTGACACATTAGATGCTATAATCTCTCACAGGATAGAGCAAAATGGATTGTTGTCATAGGGAACAGCATAGCCGACGGCTACAAGCTGGCATTTGTTACAACAGCAGTCAGGTATACATACAGGCGTAGGGGGTTTGGGCAGCAGTCAGGTATACATACAGGCGTAGGGAGTACATGATTGATCGATTACTTTTTACATCATGCTCACACCATAAATAGAAGAAAAAAAATAAAAACAAAAACAAAAAGACTGTCCTAAAGAGAAAATGCAGCCAACAAAACTTGATAAATGCACTGCCAACAGATTGGTAAAAACACATCCACTCTAAAGCAAACAATTCTGATATTTCTTTTTTGGGTTCTAATTAGCTCAACTAATAATGTACACGCGTTTTTGAGGAAGCGATGAACATTTCTCAGGAAGCAAGCACTAAAAGCATGCCCAGCAGCGCTCTACGTCTCACTCTCCTTCAGTTCATCCAAAACAAATTCAACATACAAATCCTTGAGAGCAATGACAACAGTAGTTATCAGCGGTCCCATTATTGCTCCCTGAGCCATAAATTTCAATCAGTGTTAATCACTACATTTAAATCAAATATTTACATGCCAACCAACAAAAATAATTCTTTCATTAGAGATTGTACAAAACCATTTCAAATATCAGATTAATAAACCAGTAAATGAATAATATTTATGAGCAAATACAAGGAAACCAAACCAAAGTTATAATTTAACTTACAAACAGTGATGAATACCTTTTAATCACAACATTTAAATCAAATCTTACATGCTACCCAACTAAAAAAATTCATTCATTAGAGATTGTATAAAAACCATTTCAAATATCAGATTAATAAACCAGTAAACGAAGAGCATTTTTTAGCAAATAGAAGGAAACCAAGGTTATCATTGACGAACAATCAATGGAAACCTTTTAACAGAGATAGCAATCAACAATAGTTGGTAACTTTTATTTCATCACAATGAAGATTTAACCGACTGTCCTCTTTTTGTTTCGCCTACCAAGGATTCAACACCTTTTTATCACGAAGTGTAGAGGTTATTAACCACTAACCAAATAATTCAAGTGCAATAGAAAGTAACGGTAATGTACAGGTCTCTTCAAATCAAAATTTGATCTACAATATGATAATTCTAGTTCAATCAGTTACCATTTGAACTATCAAATCAAAATATGAATACATAGAAGCACATGTAATGCTACCACCAGTAAGTGTTATTGAACTAAAAAAATCATAAACTAGAGTGCAATAATTTACAAAATATGAATTCAAGGAAGCACTTGAAATACTACCACATGTAAGTGTTATCTCCACCTCGCTCCAGAGATGATTATCTTGAGCCCTGAGAATTAAAAATCGAGTGTTATCTATAGATTCAAAGAAAGGCAGAAGTGCAATACGTAGCCAGAAAATTACCCGTCATAAGAGAAGTCATCATCCAAATTCAAGGCATCAAGTTTGAACGTTTTGGCAAAGTGACAGAGTCAAAAGGTGCATGAGTTGCATCTGGCAGATTAACTTCTGCAGAAGCAAATGCTTTTCTTATGGTTATCAGAAAAAAATTGTAGTCTTGGTACAGATAGTTGACTTTCTTTGAATATATCCGAACAACGCCCAGTCGAAGATGACGTGACATTCTTAGTGCAATGTGAACTTTGGGATACATGATGTGCTCTAGAAGAAACATTCAGGGGGGAAAAGACTATTAAAAAAAGTTATCAAACAAGGCCATTACATGCCATTTGATTTATGATTTTAAGCAAGCTAAACACATAGGTTTAGAGGAAGAATGAGAACAAAACTAGAGTACATTAAGAAACTAAGCAACAGATTGCTAGTCAAATGATGAAGCAATAAAATAATTCTATGTAACATTTTCAACATTGAAGAGGATAAGGATCTTCACCAGCATACCCCGAAAATAAATAAATAAAAATTCCCTTGATTTCAAGTGCTATGCAAGTAGGAAGTTTAACTTGTTGCATCCCACCACTAGGCTCCCATACTCAAACTACTCAAAAATAAATACTCATTTATTCACACAAATATAGCAACTATTTTGCAAATAGTGAATCCTAAATATAGGAACATAAACCATGAGTGTTGGCTGAGTAATTAAAATCAAACAAAGGATTCTAGTTGCCGTTAGAAGAACTTCGAAAAGCAAGGATGACTCTTCTACCTTGTTAAAGTGATCCTAATTCAACCATATAAATTTACCATAAGATGAAAGTCTCTTTAACATCCCCTATCACAACTTGATGGTATGACAACCAAAATGCTTCGTAAAACATCAAAAATAGTGATGGCATCCCCATCATCTTCTAAACACACTAAACATACCCCAATTCAAGCATGGAGATTTGCTAACTAACCAAGTTCTCTTATTAACATCTCCCTCTCTTGACTTCATGCTGCTGCAAACGTGCAGGCATGAAGGTGAAAGCCCACCTGCATATGCACCAACTGAAATTATAATAAATAAATATGGATTGATTAACCTCACAAAAAAAATCCTAAATCACAAATGTAAGCCATCAACTATTGGCAAGATTGATCTACTATGCATCTAAGAATCAAAAAGTGTAGCAACTAGCAACCATTGATTGAAATTCACTTAGCTTTAACATACGTTGAAACTCATCTATGTTGGACCAATTGTTTGGTGCAAGTTAGAGCATATCCAATCATTCACCATTTCTTTCATTTGATGAAAAATTGCTGAAAAATAACATCCAATCCTTTCATCAAATCAATGGAGACTCATTTTTTCATCAAATTGAGAATTCATAAAATCCTTCATCAAATTTGAATTTGATAAAAAAAATTAAAAAGATGAAACATTGGAAGTGATTTTTTTTCATCAAATTTGATGAAAAGTGAAATTTGGAATAAGAAGGGAACTTCATCCACACGATATAGCAGTTAAATGCCAATTGAATTTTTCAGTGGTTCTTCAAGGAATACACAATATATTATCCACCAACAGCTCCACTTAACTCTCAGTCGCTCAGTTCATGGAATTGCAGAGTCCAGGCTTTGCTAATGTAGTGATGAATAGTTTCATTAAAAAATAAAAATAAAAATAAAAATAATCAAAAAGAGAGCTAATAAAGCTACCTCAGAATCTAATGCCCACTGTAGAACAGAGGACAAATTACTTGGCTCCGTTAGTATCCGGAATCCTTTTTCCTTCATGTTAGCACCTCTTGAATTTAATGATTCCCTAGATGCACTGGGTGTGGAACGATAAATTGGCTTAACAAGATGGTGCAACTGTTTTGGGATACGTGATGCCGGAAATATATCCACATAACCTGGGTCAGTGATAATATTTTCATTGAACCTGACCAAAAACAGATACAAAATAATCGCACAATTAGCTAGCTACGAAATCTTTGTTATGTTAAATAATTAAAAGATATTCACTTCACCATAGAATGGAAGAAGAATATCACTTTAACAAGATGAAGGGCAATAAAACGATAAGAACTATAGCAAAAAGAAAAAAGAAGGAAGTCACTTTAAAATCCATATTATATAAAATAAAAATAATGATGCAAATGATCAAAATGTTTAGTAATGAAGTAGTTTAACAAAAATTCTTGTGTCAATGCAAATGATATTGTTTTTGGCAAGTATGTCAACTCAAATTATATTTCCAGATCACCATTGAATATACTGATGTGCAAGATAAACAAAAAAGACAAATATCTAAATAATAATATAAAATAAAATAAACAAATAAAATCTCCCAAGTTTAGAATGGTCAAACCATCACATAAATCACAAACCCCATATAAAGTTTAATTTGTAGAGCATATATTAGATTATGGATGCATTCTCGCCTGTTGCAACAGCATAATATTCATAGGGAACATCAACAAAATAGAAGTCAACTGATCAAAATAATACTAAAACAAATAAAGATACAATTTACTTACTCCCTATACAATTGACCAATGTCTATGTTTAGAAGATTAACTCGATCCAGTTTGTCTGTAAGGTAGAGTCAAAACATAATGATGTTCCAATTTGTTTCACAGAGAGAGAGAGGGAGAGAGAGACCTTCTGAAAGAAGGATGTTTGCGACGCTTTTCACCCGACCCATTGCCCTCCGAACGACCCTTGGAGTCCTCTTGCCGCCGCTTCTGCGACATTACTGATGCTCGCAGAAAACAACCACCACCACTAATAAGCTGCTATGGCTATGGCGGTGGGGGCAACATAGAGATATAGAGGAACCATTTCAATCCAGTCGATAGAGGAACCAACTGGAATGAGAGAGTCGAAAGAAGAGTCAAAAGAAGCGTACCGTCTCGCCGCCGAACTAGTCTCGCCGCTGCAGAACCAGTCTCGCCACCGATTGAAACCCTTCCCCTTCAACCCCATTCTCTCTTCAAACCCTCTATCTTCTCCCCCTCAGATTAAGGTTTGCTTACTGTTTTGAAACAGTGTCGTGAAATTAAGGACTCTACAAACCTGAAAGGAAATGAAAGAGTGGGGGGAGTTAAGAGGGAAATTTGGGCGGGTCGTCCAGTGAGTCAGTGAAAAAAAGAGGGAAATTTGTTTTATTTTTATTTTAATGAATTTTTTTTTTATTTGATAGAAGTAGAGGTAATATTTTAATGAAAAATATTTTTTGTTAAAATAAAATTATTTTTTTATAGTCAATGAAAAATGTTTTTTTGTGACTCATTTTTTTTTTGTTATTAAAAATCAAGAAATAATTTTTTGTGATAGAGAAAAGGGAGCGGCAATAATAGTGAATGTGGTGGATAAGAGGTGATGGTGGTGGTGGTGGTGGTGGTGGTGATGGCAAAGGAGATTAGAGGTAATAGAGAAAGAGGTATAGAGAGAGATAGAGACAGATAGAGAAAGAGATAGAGAGACTGACAGACAAAAAAAGAGAGAGAAATAAGAGATGAGCGAGAGATAGACAAAGAGAGAGAGATAAAGGGAGCGTAAAGAGATGATTGAGAGAAAGACATAGAAAAAGAGAGAGACAGGGAGAGAAGAAAGATGAGTGAGAGAGATAGAGAGAAGAGAGATGAACGAGAGAGATAGAGAAAGAATAGAGATGGGAGAGATGGAGAGAAGAGAGATGAGCGAAAGACAAAGAGAGAAAGAGAGAGAGACAGAGACAAAGACAGACAGACAGACAGAGAAGAATGATGAGTGAGAAAGAGACAGAGAGAGAGATAGAGAGTGGGACACAGAAAAAGAGACAGAGAAATAAGAGAGATGAACGAGAGAGACAGAGAAAAGAGAGATGAGTGAGAGAGACAGAGAGAGAAGAGAGATGAGCGGGAGAGATAGAGAGAAGGGAGATGAACGAAAGAGATAGAGAGAGAAAAGATATGAGAGAAGAGATAAATGAGTGAGAGACACACAAAGAGAGAGGGGAGAGAGACAGATAGACAGAGAGAGAGAGAGAAGAGTGATGAGTAATAGAGAGAAAGAGAAGAGAGAAAGAGAAGAGAGAGGGGAAGATGAAAAAATGGGTGAAAAGAGATAGACAAAGAAAAATAAAGAAAAAAAATGAAAAGATATAAACGAGAGAAAGACAGAGAGAGATAAAGAGAAGAGAGATAGACGAGAGACACAGAGAGAAAGAGACAGATAGAGACCGATAGACAGACAGAAAAGAGTAACGAGTGAGAGAGAGAGAGAGAGAAAGAGAAGAGAGACAGAGACATAGAGAGAAAGAGAGAGAGAGACAGATAGAGAAGAGTAATGAGTGAGAGAGAGAAAGAGAAGAGAGACAGAGACAAAGAGACAAGATTGGAGGGTTTTGGTAACCCGAGCGGGAATGGAAAAAAAAAGGCGGGCCGAGGGGGGGGGGGGGGG